TCCCAACACCATTTGTTAAACATGGAATCCTTGCCCCATTGCTTGTTTTTGTCAGGTTTATCAAAGTAATAAAAGCTATTTATGACAAACCAACAGCCAATATCATACTGAATGGGCAAAAACTGGAAGCATTCCCTTTGAAATCTGGTACTAGACAAGGATGCCCTCTCTCACCACTCCTATTCAATATAGTACTGGAAGTTCTAGCCAGAGCAATCAGGCAAGAAAAAGAAATAAAGGGTATTCAAATAGGAAAGGTGGAAGCCAAATTGTCTCTATTTGCAGACGACATGATAGTATACCTAGAAGACCCCATCGCCTCAGCCCAAAAACTCCTGAAACTGATAAACAACTTCAGCAAAGTCTCAGGATATAAAATCAATGTGAACCTTCACTTATAATAAAGGTTAAGATTTATGAGGTCTCCCCTTAGGGAGGCAGACGCTGAAACATTTTGAGTCTTTTAAAGAAAGAAAATAAGAGTCTTTTAAATAAATTTAAAAAATATATTTCATATATTTTTCAGAAACAGGGTCTCTGTCTCCCAGGCTGGAATGCAGTGGTGCAATCATAGCTCACTGCATCCTCGAATACCTGGGCTCAAGAGGTTCTCCTGCCCCAGCCTCCTGTTGTAACTGGAACTGCAGGCATGTGCCAATATGCCCAGAAAGAGACATTCATTTTGGTACTATGATAACAAGGAAAAACAAAGGGCCTTTGAGGCTGAGGGAGAAGAAGAAGGATGGACTTAGACATGGTATAGGCACTTTCTACTAAAGAGCTGTGAGGCTAGAAATGCCAGGTCTTTGACAGGTGCAATGGGCCAAGGCCAGATAGAGAGCAGCAGGAAGAGATGAAGTGGGGACCTGTTTCTAGGCCCATCTGCTGGGACTAATCTAGCCGTAGGTACTCAGAGAAGCCCAGGTTGGTGCCTGACCTACCCTTATAGCCAGGTTTAAGTCCAAACGTGGACACCTCCTAGTCTGTTCCTTCCTGCTGCCCATGGTGGGACTGCGTTAGTTTGTATTCTGAGGACACGGCTCTCTGTCTAGAGGAAGTTATGTTATCAGACATAGTCTGATGGATACTCAACATGAATATTATTTCAATATGCCACAGGGTCTTGCAGCCCAGAGTAAGATCCCAGGTGCCTTTTAGCTTGATCTAGTTTATATTTTTCTTTGATAATATTTTGAGAGTCTTTATATAGTAAGTCTGAACCAAAATGATAAGTGACAATGCTTATACATGGATTTCTAAGTTGGCTGAAAAAGTTGTTTTATAGGTAGTGAATACAGACTGTATGGTTTCCCTGTCTTCTTTAGATGCCTTCTATTTGTATGCCTAAAGTCTGCAGTTGATTTTCAGTAATCTGGGGATCATCTTAGAGATAAAATGTAAATGAACGGCATTTTGCTAACAGCATACATCTTTGCTATTTGTGAGGAAAATGGGCTCTCACTATTAAATCTTCTACCAATATTTATAAAAAATTTACATATTCTATTTATATTGTGAAAACTATAAGTTCATTGATTCAGTCATTGATTAGTTTATTTGATATCAATATTGTTGAGTCCCTATTCCAGGTGAGGCACTATACTCTAAGCGTATGGCATTTTAAAGATGAATAAGACACAGGAATTTTGTAGACAGTAAAAGAAAGAGAATCAACTGAAGGATATAATTGTAAGTAGCAGAAGAGGAGTAAGAAATTCTGCTAGAGAGTTCAGAACAGGGATGTTATTTCAAATTTATGGGGATTAGGAGTGGCTGGTAAGAGAGGCATTCATGCAAAAGGTGACATAAAAATGCAATATTCCCCTCACACTCATTAGGATGCCTACCATATTAAAAGAAGAGAAGAGTAAGTGTTGGAGAGGATACCTAAAAAATAGAAACCTTGTGCCTTGTTGATAAGAATGCAAAATGTGCAGCCACTGTAGAAAACACTGGCGATTCCTTAAAAAAAATCAAAACAAAATTTTCATATGGTCCAGTAATTCTATTTCTGGGTATATATCTAAAAGAATTAAAAATTTGGGTCTTGAAGAAATATTTGTATACCCATAGTTATAGCAGCATTGTTTACAATAGCCAAAAGGTAGAAGCAATCCAGAGGTCTATAGATGGATGAATGGATAAATCATCTGTGTAGTATATACAGACGATGGAATATTAGTCACACCATGGATCTTCAGGACATTATCCTAAGTGAAATATGCCAGACACAAAAGGGGAAATACTGTAGGGTTCCACTTAATGAGGTATCTAGAAATATCAAATTAACAGAGAACAAAAGTAGAATGGTGGCTGCTAGGGGGCTGGGGAAGGAGAAAATGGGGAATTACTGTTTAATGGGTATGGAGTGTTTAATGGATGTAGTTTCAGTTTTGTGGAATGAAAATGTTCTAATGACTCGTTGCATAATGATGTAAGTATGTCTAACACTACTGAATAGGTGAACACTTAAACATGGTTCTGATGGTAAATTTTGTGTTATGTATATCTTACCACAATTTAAAAAATATAGTACTATTATGTAGGGATGGGTGGGTAGATACTTGACACATTGGAACTTCTGGCCATCATATTCTGTTCACTCACTTGTTCCTTCATTCATTCAACAAACTTGTATTGAATGCCTGCTATGTGCTGGGCACTGAGCTAGATACAACAATTAATAAGGCTTATAATATATTGAATCTGTCAATTTCATACTTGCTAAATATCTACTCCCACCTCCAAAGGCACTAAGCTTCTACAGTTAAATATTCATAGCTGTTTCCTACTGACTTGAATCATGCATAAGATATTAGTAAACAAACAATAAAAAGATTTGAGGTTGATGGGGGCAGGTTCAACGGTATAGTGGTGAAATGGAAAGAGATGGGTAACAGAATATGAACTAGAATTGAAAACTGAGCCAGTGCTCTCTAAAGAACATTAAAAAATAAAGAATTCCTATTTGAGGCTGCCAACCTCAGAACTAAGTTATTTAGAATGGAAAAAATTGGCAAAGTCAGACGTATTCAACCCAAGGAGCCAATATTTTATGAATATTATGGCCAATGTAGTTTGAAAACCACTACCACAAAATTGTGAACCATCATAATGAGTGAGGAGGCAGGGAAAGGTTATACAATTTGGGCTAAAAGGAAAGACAGGCCTTGTGAAGGGGAGGACCAGTGAAAGTGAGTATGGTCTGGGTATTTGCATGGGGAATGGAAGCAGGAAGCATGAGCTTTCATTGCCAAAAGACCCTGGATGTGCTATCATCAGTCGATTTTAGCTCATCTTAGGATTTTGATTCTTTTGAAAATTTCATAGGAACCTTCACTCCACCTATATTTTCAATAACTGCCTGCCTGTCTTTCTTATACAACTTTGAACACTCTCTCCATTCATTTAAATATATTATGGAGTACCAGCTATACATCAGGCACTGTGCTGGGCTCTTATCCCACCTTTGATTGCAAATGCCTGGCAAGTCTTGGGCCAACATGACATCTACTCCTATGCCTGGTCAGGTGAGAGATGCAAACTCATCCTCCTCTACCTTCCTTACCTTCTTCCTTCCAGTCTTCTTCAAGGTGTCTTCATTGAGGCAGTTTCTTTTACCTATGTTTTTAATCCCAGCTGCTCTAGTTTCCTTCTTGGCTTTATTTTTTTATCTTCTTCTTTGTGCTTTCAATGTTTCTTCTCTACTGGCCCATTCCCTTCAGTCTACATGAGGCCTTCTCAAGTCTCTTCATTCTAAACAATTCATTTTCTTGGGTCTTACATTCTTTAGCTGCCACCTTAGCTGTATCTTTTCCTATTCTCCAAGTTCTCAAAGGAATGGCCTTTCCTCATTTTCATCTCCTTACTTTCCATCTGTTGGATTTTGGCTTCTGCCTATGCCTGTCTATGGAAACTCCCTGCTAAGAGTCTGCTTTGTCAGATCTAAATTCACTTAACCAGTCTTTGCTTTATTGAATGTCTCTGCCCCATTTGGCATTATTGATCATTCTCTCCATAAAGCTTTCACTTTCTTAAAGCATTTTACTTCCTTATTTTCTTGGTTTTCCTAGAATTTCCTTACTGTTCATTTTCAGTTTCCTTTCTGTGTTCCTTTGATTGTCTCTCTACATATTTTTTTCCTGTGTTCCTCTGATTGTCTCTCTGTGTCATACAGTTTGGAGTGCAGTGGCATGATTATAGCCTACTGTAGCCTCAACATCCAGGGCTCAAGTGATCCTTCCACCTTAGCCTTTGAAGTAGCTAGAACTACAGTTCTTAGCTACTTTTTTTAAAGCACTTTTATAGAGATGGAATCTTGTTATATTGTGTAGGCTGGTCTCAAACTCCAGGCCTTAAGCAATTCTCCTGCTTTGGCCTCCCAAAGTGCTGGGATTCTAGGCATGAACCACTGTGCTAAGTCTCTATGCGTTCCTAAAGAGTAGTTTTGAATACTGAAAATCAGTATTTTCAAATTACAGATTATGTTATGGAAACTGATATCCAGGGTTATGTGGCAATGACATAAAAATTTGAATTGTTATTTTTCTGACATGTGTTCTGTGTGGCTCATCAGTTTGCCTGAGTTCCAAATGTCCCAGCCATTGTATGTTTTGTCTCTGTTTCCTAAAGACCCTGCATGTGGTCTAGAGTTGGAATGAGCATTGGTCCCTAAATGGTTCTGAAATAATTGTAAATTCCTGCAAAAATGTTAAGTCTATTAGAAACCAGCTAATTTCATTTTGCCATTTTTCTGGGTAATATATTCTGGTGCAGGTAGTGTGTTTTTAAATCAAGTTTGCAATAAACAATTTCCCCTCAAGGTTAATGTAATAGGCAACACCTTTTGCTGCAACGGACGGCAAGAGGTAATGAAAGATTAGCTTACATTATGATTCATTATTTCAAAATGTCAGGATAAAGTGGAGCTGCTGCATCTCCCAGAGAGTGCATGTTTTGCTTTTCTAATGTTAATGGATTTACTGTTTTTTTCCCCCCAGGCCAAATTCAGATAATCGACGCCAGGGTGGCAGAGAGAGATTGGCCAGTACCAATGACAAGGGAAGTATGGCTATGGAATCTGCCAAGGAGACTCGCTACTGTGCAGTGTGCAATGACTATGCTTCAGGCTACCATTATGGAGTCTGGTCCTGTGAGGGCTGCAAGGCCTTCTTCAAGAGAAGTATTCAAGGTAATAGTGTGTTGAAAACGACTTCTATTTTTGATCCTACGAGCAGATCCTAAGAGCCAAAGCAACTGAGGAAGGAAGACATAGAATCAGCCATTTGTTCAAAACATGAATACCTAGTAGGTGCCACTAGTATCTTTGGTGGAAATGTGGAGAAGAGACAGGATCTCAGGAGGAGGATTTGACATGTGCCAGGGTAGCTGAGGCTGAGTAATTCTGCTTCCTTCCTTTGGCGAGACTCAAACAGTCTTGAGCAACTCTGCAGAGGAATGCCACTAGCTGGATCGCTAAGGAAAAAAGAAATGTGTGTATGCCCTGATTGGGGGATGGTAGATGGATATTCATGTTTGGTAGACAACTTTGCCTATATGATCTGGTGTATGCTGTTCCTTGTCCATGCATAATTATCTTTCTATTCTGGCCTTGTCCAGGGAAATATTCTGTTTTGTTCTAGTTTAGCTTGTTCTCCTCTTCCTCTCTTCCATCTCTTTCTTGTCTCAATGGATGACAGGACATTTTGCTATGAGCTGACTCAGTGGCTGATGTCTTGTAATGGGGAATGTATCATCTTTACCAAAGTTATTGATATCTCCCTGTAGCGTTACATTTTCCTGCCTACCTCCATCCTTTTCTTGTCTATAGTTTACCAATTATAGCTAATACACTGCCAGCTATACTTTATTTCTACTCCAGAAGTGTCTCTATTATAATAAGATACCCCAGGGAAACACTAATCATTTTTACCACCTAAAATACCTGTGGCAAATATCCTTTATCTGACAGGAACATAGAGATCTGACAGAGGTTTAGGCTAACTGAATTTGTTTTTTATCTTAAGTGTGGGACATTGTTCTCTCTTCTTATTCTTTACCTTTACAGCTTAAGTGAAGGTTAGTATATAAATGCTAAGAATATTTCTGGTGGAGTTTTCATGTGATTCCTCCTACAAAAATCCAGATTTAAGTAACTTGTTGAAAACCAGAGTCTGCTAAGTTAATAACCACTGATTGAAGAAATGATTCTCATAGACTTTCTGTGATAGCTCTTTCCTGCCCTGATATGAATGAAAGCTGGGGGATGGTACATAGTATTTAATTTTCCTTCCATTGCCAGTGAGACTTGTTTTTTTTAAAAAAGCTGTTCATATCTTAATTGAGTAGCATGTGAGGTCAACACAGTCCATTTTAAAAGCATTTTCTTTGACACATTGCTTTTAACATCTTTTACGACTCTGCTGTAAGACATGGATTTTTTTGTTGGTATTTTTATAAAATTAATGACATTGTCAATAGTAATCTTTGTGTGTGTGTGTGTGTGTGTGTGTGTGTGTGTGTGTGTATAAATTCTAAATGTAGGTTAATATATTTATTATTCATCTGCTAAACATATGTAAATGAATATATATATGCACACAGGCTATTTAATTTTATTAGATGATATTATTTTAATTCACAAAAATGACATTTATATTTTGATTGAGGTTAGTATAAACCCTTAGAGGTCTTTTGACAACTCACTTAATTTGTGGTTTTATTTGATTTTATATAATCTAAAATACCATTGTTTTCACCAAGTATTTAATCTGGCAGTAAAAGAGCATTGACGAAGGTATGGTTAGTAGATAGGTTTAACTACACAATTGGGCAGATTGATCTTAGACTATTTCCTCATCAGTACAAATGATTTGGAGTGGTCATTGAAAAGTGTTTCTGTAAAGGGCCAGATAATAACGTTTTAGGCTTTCCAGGTAATTCAGTCTCTGCTGCAGCTACTTAACTGGATTGTACCCTGTAAGGAGACCCTGTAAACACATGGACGTGATTATGTGCTAATAAAACTTTATTTTAATAAAATAGAGTATTTTGATAGGTAACAAATTAGCCCTGGCCCGTGGGCCATAATTTACTGTTACCTGATTTAATGTTTATTTATCTGATGTAAATACCATTATTTATGGAAAGGGAAAAAAGGGTTTTTAAACCTAAAGTTTTGATTATTCACATTTTACCGAGAACTTACTCTATACCTGATTAGATGTTCTGAGAGAAATAAAAAGAAGAAGTGTAAGACATAATCCATAATCCCACAAAATTTAGAATTTATTTGGGAAATGTATCTGGGGAAGTGAATGTACCTGCTCTCATGATACAATCAGAAAGTAAGTCAGAATTGATAAAGTGCTACCTGTATGACAAAGATAAGGAAAACGATAGAGGAACATAAGAAATGAAAATATCAGTTATAAATGTAAATTTATTAGGGTTGAAAGTGGAAATAATCTTTCTCCAAGAAACAATGGCAATACTCTCACAAATTTTTTGCATCATTTTTGTTCAGTGTTTAGGATATGATTGTATAAAATCCCATAACATTTAGTATTGTCATTAAGCATTAAGAACAGAAAAAAACAGAAGACAAATGTATTTATAAATATCAATGAATACAATGTGAGATATTTCATTGCTATGGCATTATCTCAAGTTCAAATGTTTTGAAAAAAATTTGCTTACTCTTTGATCGTTAAAAAGAAATATGTATGTATATATAATCTTATCTTTATCTTGTACATGCAGACCAGCTAGTAGAATTACATTAAAACTGTAGCATTTAAAAATGCAATTTCCACTTGGTTTTAGACACTTGTTATGTATCATAGTGTGAAGTTACTTATCTTAGGTTTTTAAAATGTGATGAATATTGATTCCAAAGTTCTGGAAGAAGCCTAGAAACAAGGCAGCATTATTAACTTTAAGATTTAGGGAATAACCTTAAAATTATTCAGTTTTTTATTCATTCATTTAGTCATTGACTAGCTTTACTAACAACGCCCTGTGCAAAACCCTGGAGATGCAATGATAGAGAAACCTGGTCCCTACCCTCATAGAACTTGCGAGGTAGAGGGGCATACAGAGCAATAAACCAGAAATTTGATGACAGTGCCAAGATAGAGGTGAAGGCAGCATCTCATAGTTTGGAAGATCCGAACTTCACTCAGTCCTGCTGGTGGTTGAGTCTGGCTCTCAGAGGTTTCCTGATTAAGTCTGGAGGGTATGTCAAGGAAGAATGATGAAGAAGGAGGGAATACATGTCCAGCCGTGTGAGTGAGTCCACAAGCGAAGACCAGGAGGAAAGGCAGAGTGCGGGGAATTCTGTGCATAAAAAGGAACAAAATTAATGTACTGTTTGACAAAGACATTTCTGGGCCATGGATTTAATCCTAGGCTATGTAAAAACTAAGTAATTGATTTCCTCTTTACTTTACAGGTGTTTCCCTGTATTTGATTTGTTTGTGTGTGTGTATAAAAGGAAAATACCAGAGCAAGTTTAAGGGCTTCTAGTCCTGCTTTCTCATCATAGTCTTGATAACTTGGAACTAAAATGTTTTTGCTGAAATTTTGACTCTTTATAAATCACACTGCCCCTCAAACACATTTAAGGATGGTGAAGGGTCTGACACGTAGGTGGGAAGTTCTGAAGATGCAGCAGCTCTCCCTGTTTTCTTTGTTACTTAAGAAGAGAGCTAGAAATGAGTGTACATCAGATTATTCTCGTGTTCTAAGTGTTTTGGTTGAAGAGGTAAAGTGTTTGGCTTGAAAGCATACAAATTTTCATCCACTACTTAGTGTACAAACTTGATTACTTAAGAGATTGAGTAATGGCCTCCAGTGAAACACATTCTTTTTAAAAAACAAAGTGAAGGATGCTATTTAAATCAGAAGGGGCGAAATTGGATATTTTATGAATTTATTAATCATTGTAGGCATAGAAGTATGTTCCTTAAGATGCTTTTTAGACAGAGACTCTGGGATGAGTTATGTAAGCAGATCTGGTTGCAGCTTCAGCAGCCAGATACTACCTTTGAATATAATTTCAAGGGAAAAGGACTTCACTGAGCTCACTGCTTCTCTTTCATTATTATTTCAGAAGGTCATGTGTCACAGAGGGGGCCCAGGCCTACCTATACTCCACTAGCTATGTTGCCATTTTATATTCTTTCTATAAGATGCCAACAGAAGCTGCTCATCATTCAATCAGACAAACATGTCCCAGGCAGGTATTGACTGACAGGTGATCTTTGACCAGGAAGACATGGTATCAGGGTAGAGTCTGGCTGTGGGTCAATGTGGTGGGGACCTTAGGTCCTACAAGTATGACAGAGCCTGATCTATCTGGCTTTAGAAAGCTTCAGGGTGACACAGTCCAGCACCCTGGATAGCTCCTTTAACAGCTGCTGCTGGTCAGCAGGGACTGAAAGTTGCTAAAGAACTCACGCCCATTTAGCTGTCTTCATTTGCTTCGTAGGACTCTGTTAAAAGACATCTTAGTTCTTTTGGGCCTGGGGACTCACTCTTGTTCACTCAAAATGAATTAGTTCTTACATTTATTGTCACATTTGTGTCCAGTCACCTTCTGGCTTGATGTATGCACCTATGTCTGGAAAAGGTTAGAGAATGGGGTTGAGGTGGAGGCTGCTCTCCCATGTCGTAACTGTTTTATCTTTTCAGAGATCCTAACCCTTTGGTCTCTTTATTTCCACACTTACTCTTCTACAGTTCAGTTTCAAGGTAACAGCAGGAGAGATCTTTTAGATATATTAATCAGATACTATGGTCTTGAGTTTATAACTCTCAGTGTAGATCTTACTCTCAAGAGAAAAAGTTTCATTCTGCAGATGAAAACATTCAACATATTCTCACTCCTGGTTCCTTCTCCCCCATTCACTATACTCCAGGAACACTGGCCTTTTTTTTTTTTTGCCATTCCCTGAACACACCAACATGTTCCTTCTCAGGATCTCAGCACATGTGGTTTCCTTTTTCCCTTTGCTTGGAATACCCAGACCTTTACTTGGCTGGTTTCTTGTCATTCAGACTCTGCCCAAAGTCACTTTCTCAGAGAGACCTTCTCCCTCTTCCATGAGTAATCCTACTCTTATTTCTCTTTACAGCTTTCAAATTTTTATGAAGTTTTCCTATTTATTAATTTGATTATTGTCTGTCCAC